AGAAACGGGTGTGCCCCTGCCCTCATTTGCTCACCCCTGCCCGGCATCACTGTCCACCTCACTCCCCCCTCCAGGTCCTCCATTCCATGAAAGCTACACTGACTTTCCCTATGCGATTCTTGCATGAATTTTCATCAACATAAATCATAGTCGCTCCTTTTCTTCTCTTTCAAGGACTTTTGTTGATTTTTAGCAATCACGGTTCCCAGTTTTCTCTCAGGTCACTGGTGACCCTTCTCTTGCGTCTTTCCTTCTTCCTCTCCTAGACATCTGTAGCACTGTAGCTCTGTCCTCCCGTTGTTCATCGATTTGCTCAAGCGAGCACCCATAACATTTTCATTGTGAAACTTGTTGTTACTGTTTTGGCATATCGAATACGTCACAGGTAGCTTGCCGGGCTTTGGCATGCGGGCGGGATACTCTCCGTAGCTTGCCGGGCTCTCTCAGAGGGGCAGAGGAATCGAACCCAGGTCGTCTGCGTGCAAGGCAGACACCCTACCTGCTGTACTATCGCTCTAGCCCCCGAGACATCTAATCACCAAAATGCTTCCCTCACTTCTCCCTTCTCTCTCCTTTCCTCTCTCCCTTTCTCAGTGATTTCTTTCATTTCTGCACACTGACACACCATAAGTAAACCTTTGCTCAGGGTCACTCCACGTGGTCCTCAGGGAGCCATGCCAGGCATGTGCTCTAGTCCTTTGAGCCATCTCCCTGGCCCCTGATTCATTGGTTTTAATATTTTTTTTCTTTTTGAGTCACACCCATTGATACTCAGGGGTTATTCCTGGCTCTGCACTCAGTAATTACTCCTGGTGGTGCTCGGGGGACCATATGGGATGCTGGGATTGAACCTGGGTCGGCCTCGTGCAAGGCAAATGCCCTACCCATTGTACTATCACTCTGATCCTGGTTTTAAAATTTAATGTAATCACCATGTATTCACTATCTGTCACTATCCTCCCATTGTTCATCGATTTGCTCAAACAGGCCCAGTAATGTTTCCATTGGAGACTGTTTTACTGTGTTTGGCGTTTCGAATACATCACAGGTAGCTTGCCAGGCTCTGCCATGCGGGCGAGATACTCTTAGTAGCTTGCCGGGCTCTCCGAGAGGGGCAGAGGAATTGAACTGGGGTCGGCCATGTTTGGCTGCGTGCAAGGCAAACGCCCTACCGCTGTGCTATCACTCCTCCTATATTAACATAATCATTATTTTTTTCAGTACCTACTGTATTATTCTGGGCACTGCCCTAGGTTTCTGGGAGCTAATTAACAACAGATGATTCCTGCCCCTAGGATCTCAGAGTGCAGCCAAAGGGGACATGCCTACAGCTCTTAAGTACTCATAAAGCACCATGAGTGCTAACCCCTCGATAATGATTTGATTCTGTTGTCTGCTGCACACGTGAATATGGGAGAGGGTGTCAGGAGGAAAATGGACATGATGGGAAACAGTGGAAAAGAAACTGCTCTCAGTGAGACCGTGGAGAAAACAAAGAATGGCACCATAATCAGTCACTGTGTTAAGTGTTATTTGGAAGGCTCACTCCTTTGGTTATTAATGGGCATCTGAAAATGTATTCCTTTTTCTCTTTGTTTATTAAAACTTGATGGGGGGGCGGAAATGAAGCTAGCCCATTGATGAAAGGACATAAGTGGCATTTGTATTAAGGATACTGTAGATCATTTGTGGGCAGAGGGCAGCTTGATTTTAGTGTTACAGTTTTATGAAACGTTGGGGGTTTTGTTTTTCTTGGTTTGGGGGCCACACCTGGAAGTGCTCAGGGCTTATTCTGGCTCTGCACTCAGGGATCACTCCTGGCAGTGCTTGGTGGACCGAGGTGGGGTGCTGAAGGTTGAACCTGGCCCTGTTATACGTAAGACAAGCACCCTTCCTGCTGTAGTAACACTGCTCCCTCACTTTTATGAGATCGGTTGACTGCAGTATTCTCAAAAATCACGTCTTGGTTTTTGAATTTGTTGGGGGAGGTGACTTATTAGAAAGAAGAGAATTCTTAGGAGGCTAGGATGCAGAGTGGGTGGTTATAGATGTTCAGGAGTGACTTAGGATTGGACATATCAGGGAGTGGACAGATCTGGAAGCTGAGCAAGAGAGGCGAACAGTAGTCAGAGGAGGACATATTTGTAGTTGTATGTTTAAGCACAGCTTTTAGGCATTTTCTTAGAATGGTCAGAGTTCTGGAAATTAGCCCAATACCTGTCTTGGTTTAATGTATCTTTTGTCATTAAATCTTTCTTGCACGTAGGAGTCATGGTCACTGTGTGAGACATTAGGAAATACCCAGAAAAGTTGTTTAGCTAGTAGGAATCCTCAGGCCCTTGCCATCTGGCTGGAAAATGGGGGTTTTCTTTCACTACACCCCTGCTGGGTTTTTTTTTTCGCTTTTGGGCCACACCTCGGGTTGCTAATGGCTCTGTGCTCAGGGATCAAGGATCACTCCTGGTGGGGCTCGGGATTCTATGGGGTGCCAGGGATCGAACCTGCGTTGGCCGTATGCATGGCAAGCACTTTACTCACCATATTATCTCTCTGGTCCACCACTGGCTATTTTAGGGGGTGTTGACTCATGGTTAACTCATGGAAAGGCAAGATGGTGGTAGCTGCAGTAGAGCCATTCACCAGAGTCCATGTCCCCGACCTTGCTGGTCTGAGGCATGGCATGAGCAGCTGCTTGAGTCACCTGAGACCTGGCACCCGAAGGGCCAAAAGGGCTGAGTGAGAACTCAGCTTAGTCTTTGCTTGTGGGCAGCCTAGGTTTGACCCCCAGCAGCCCTGGGAGCAGCCCCTAAACCCAGAGCCAGGAGAAGTCCCTGGGTACTGTGGGGTGTAGCCCCAACAAAACAAACCAACCAACTTAGGAGCGCTTCTGAACACCTGTTTCATCGCTCCACACAGTGACCTGTGGTCCGTGTCCCTATGTATGTGTGAGACCCCTATACATTCCCGAAGTGGCAGATCACAAGAAAGCTGTGTTTGCCACAACAGAACCAGAAGCTCCGGACTAAGAAATGTACAGAGGAAGTGGACAGCCTGGGGTACCTGGGAAGAAGTGGGAGATACAGTCCCTGCCTTTGACAAGGAAGCAGTTTCCCATGGAGGATGCCAGCTTAAGTTTGCTTTTGTTTTTTGGGGTTTTTTTGTTTGTTTGGAGGCCACACCTGGCAATGCTCAGGGGTTATTCCTGGTGGTTACTCTGGGGACCATATGGGATGCGGAGGATCAAACTTAGGTCAGCTGCATGCAAGGCAAATGCCCTTGCTGCTGTACTGTCGCTCACCGGGCCCCTTAAGTTTGTGTTCTTTGTTAAGAAGAAAGTGTCGGAGTTTGTAGTGCTTCCTTTAGGAGCTGTTGAAGGCTGGGCTTCAGTCAGTTCTCCTCGACCTGTCTCCTCCCTCCTCAGCGCTGCTCCCCTCTCTCCTAGGGTGTTCTCAGGAGGCTTGGCTGCCTCCCAATAATCCGGATGGATGGCACACACAGCTTTGGGATTACGTTGGCCTATTTTCTATTTTACAAAGGGTCTGGGAAGCCCAGTTTGGACAGGCTACTCTTAAACCAAAATAAATAAAGTGCCGAGATGAAATGAAGCCTGAGTTCTTCTTTGGCTGCTGCCTCTCCTATGAGTCCATATGCTGTGCATGTGTGTGGCTTTTGTGCCCTCCCAATTCCCTGAATGTAGCTTCTCCTACTTGCAGAAGCTACTGTGGCTTGTAATACTTTTCATGTGCAGTATATAACTGTGTGGGCTTTTAATTCACTGGCAACATGTCACCCATCTTCAGTGTTCAGTGCCCTTCTAACTCCATTTTGTTGGTTTGCAAATGGAGGGAACTACATATTCTGGGCTTTTTTGTTTTTTTGTTTTGTTTTGTTTTGTTTGTTTGTTTTTTGTTTTTGTTGTTGTTGTTTTTTGGTTTTTGGTTTTTTTTTTCTTTGTGGTACCAGGAATTGAACCCAGGGCCTTACACGTGCTGTGCAAGGCAAGTGCAAATGCTCCACTGCTAAAATGTAGCCCCAGCCTCGATATTCTGAGGTTCCCAGGCAAAATTGTGTGTGTGTGTGTGTGTGTGTATGTGTGTGTGTGTTTAAATGCAATCTTTATTGTTGTTGTTGAGGCCAACAGCGATTCTCCTCAGCCAGTTGGGTGGGTGGGCCTGAGGATTTGATGCTGGGGATTCTCCAGCTCACTCCAGCAGAGCCCTGGGGGCGCCTCCAGGACCACACCCTGTGGTGCTGGGACCTTTAGGACGGCACTCAGTGATGCTGAGAGGACCATATGGTGCGCCGGGGTTTGACCAGGCATGTGCCCTGTCTACTATATCCTCTCCTTGCCCCTGACAGCCATCTTGGGGAGCTTCTAAAAGTTGACATTTTCCCTGCCTGCATTGGTAGAGCCACTTCTGTCCTTTTATAGACTTTGCAGGTCAGTGTGACTTTGTGTACACACACGCACACACGCTCATGGTAACACACAGGTGGATTTGTCTTATTTAATTATTTTGGTGAATGCTTAGGGGTTACTCCTGGCTCTGCTCTCAGGTCCCAGGCGGTGCTCCAGGGACCATATGGGATGCCAGGGATCGAACCCGGGTCAGCCTCCTGCAAGGCAAGCACCCTCCCTGCTGTGCTATGTGTCTCTGGTCTCTGTCTTATTTATTTGTTGTCATCAGTATGTATAGTAATTGTTGAGCTGAAAGGAGGTAGTTTTGTTTTTTAATTAAAGCTTTATTTACTGAGCAATTTGGCAAGAATTTTAAGTATTTGCGTATATCCAAGCACTGTACTTTTGCTTGTCTTTTCTACTTTAGTCCAGTAAAATTGTCCATGAAAATAAAACGAATCAGTAAGTTTTATTATTCCCTTCCCTGCCCCCATCCCTGTCCGCCTCCAGCCAGACCGAGCTTGATTGCAGAGTAGGGACAGGTCCTGATTTTGCACTGTTTCTTGCTTTTTGTTTTTTTAATCTATTTCTCTTATCCTAGGCTCTTGAAGAGGCCCAGAAAGCTATTCAGCAGCTCTTTGGCAAAATCAAAGACATCAAAGACAAAGCAGAAAAATCAGAGCAAATGGTGAGTTTGGGTTTCTACCTAACTCCTTGGGGGGTATTTGCGCACACCTAGAGATATTCAGGGCTCACTCCTGATTGGTGCTTGAGAACCATTCAATACCTGGGACCAAACCTGGGACCCCCACACTCAGGCCGTGCAGTCCAGCTCTTGTGTTCTCTCCCTGGCCCTTGATCTCACTTTTTTGCAGTGGAATTTACTTATCAGGCAGCCACCCTCCTGCAGTGGTCCTCGTCTTACCTGCTGCGGCCCTCGGGTCTCTGGAGCAGGCCTCTGAGTCCGTTCCAGTTCCATCCGGAGTGGCTGGGAAATGTGGGTGATTCACCGTCCCTGCTGGTCTCCATCTGCAGCCCCGATTTTAAAGGGGGAAAGTTTTCTTCTCTCCTTTTCCCCAAAATAGCTTCCTCCTCACTTTGGATTCCTTTCTTTGGCATATGCTTCTATCTTGTATTTCTCTGCTAAGATATATGATACGTAACTTATGAAAACTGGTATGTGATCTGGGAGGTTAAATGCATCCTGCTGCGATACATGCGTGTGTTTTTGATTAAGTTCTCACTCTACGAATTTGTGTCCTCCGGTGATGTACTCAGAGGCCTTCTGCTGACCAAGAATCCAGCCTCACCCACTCCTGCTCTGTGGGAGGCACTGTGAAATGCTAACTCCTGAGCTCAGATTCTCACCACATAATGTAATGTCTATGAATTCACTTTTTTTTTTTTAACTGTTAAGTAAGAACAATAACATCTGTGAGTGGTCTGGACTCATCAGTCAAAAGACACAGAATGGCTCTGTAGATAAAAAGCAAGATCCATCTTCTTTATACAAGAAACTCCTATCAGGTCTTTGTTTTTGTTGTTGCTGGTGTTTGGGAGAGACACTCCTGGCAGAGTTCAGAGCTTATTCCCAGCTCTGTCCTTAGGATCACTCTTGGTAGGACTCAGGGGTCCATATGTGGTGCCAGGGATCGAACATGGGTCAGCCAGGTGCAAGGAAAGTGCCCTGCCCCCTGTACTATCTCTAAAGACTCTCCTATCAGATCTTACTGCAACATAAGCTCATAGTGAAAGACAGAAAGTATTTCAAGACAGCAGTCCAGAGGAAAAGGCAGCAACTGCTGTGCTGGGTAAAGAAGCTTTGTGATTGTGTGTGTGTGTTTGTGTATATGTGTGTGTGTGTGTATATATATATATATATATATATACACACACACACACACGCATACGCATATTTATATATACATTCAGTGAAATGCTGCTTCCTGTTCAAAAAGAATAGGAACTGTCCTTCGGGACAATGTGGATGAAACTTAAGGTGTTTATGCTAAGTAAGTCAGGAAGTGGAAGACACTGAACAGCTGACTTGACTCAGATGAAATATAAAACAAAAGCAAGCAGGCAAAACAAGAAAAGTGACTCTTAGACTCCGAATAGATGGGTACCAGAGGGAAAGGGGTGGGCAGAATTGGCTGAGGCCAGGGAGATAACTCAAAGGGCTGTGTGCATGGTTTTCTTATGGGGGGCCCAGGTTTGATCCCTGGCACTGCATGGACCCCCAAACACTACCAGGAGCACCCCCTGAGCAGTGAGCTGGGTGTGGGCCAAAACCAAAGGTATAGATGAAGGGTCATTTTGGTAGAGTTGGCACGGGGACTTTGCAGAGGTATAGTGAGACTAACTGTGTGACACTCTCCTCCTAAAGCCTTAGAGTATTATAAAACAATGACAAATCATTAAAATTTTATTACACATTAGCAAGTAACTAGAGGTAAGATTCACATGAAACATGACTTTCAGGGACGCAGCATGATTTGCTCTCTGTGTATATTGCAAAGTGATCAGTAAAGTTTGGTAAACACGTGATGAGGATTTTTAAGATCTAGTCTTTTATTAAACCATTTTTCTTGAGTTACTGGACTTAAGACCCTGCTAATTATGGTTTTCTTGCATCATTCATGCACACATCATTCTGAGATCTTTTTTTTAAAGCATCTTTCAAACATATTTAAAATCAAACTTGAATGTGTATATGCACATATTATATACACACAGACACACACATACACATATACACATATGCGCCTGTGTATATATGGATGCAGAGCTTGGGGTGGCCAGGCTTTCTTCAGCACTTCCCAGATCTGTAGTGCAGACCTGGTGGTTCAGTGCTAGGGCCCAGAGGGGCAGTGTTTTATTTGGGGGGCCACACCCAGCTGTGCTCAGGGCTTACTCTGCACTCAGGGACCACTCGTGATGGGGCTCAGGGAACCCTATGTGATGCCAGGGATGGAAACTGAGTTGGTTGTGTGCAAGGCCAGCACTACCCTCTGTATTATCTTCCCAGTCCCTCAATTTCTATTTTGGTTTCTTCATTTGTAGTTAAAAAAAAAGGTTGCTTCATTCTCAGAACTGAGGATTTTATGACCCTGGGTAATGGTTTCTGAAGAGGAGTCTGGAATGACAGAACAGCAGCTGGCTGTTGCCTGGCACCTGGCTGACCGGGGTTCGATACCGAGCACCCCACATGGTCCCTGGAGCCCTGCCAGGAGGGATCGCAGAGCACAGACCCAGAGTGAGCCCTGAGCACTGGAGGACATGGGCTTTCCACTTCCCTCCCCTTCCTCCCCGCTCCCACACCCAGATAAAAGATCCCTGATGAAATACCAACTTAAATCCAAGCAAGCAGAGTAGAAATTACCTTCATTATTTGTAGTGAGAATCTTCTCCCCTTGTTTCATTTGCATTGTTTTCTTGTGGAGCCACTTGCAGATGAGTTTGCTTCCTGACTGCCTCCTTTCTTTGTTGTGCTTTTTAATCATTTAGGTCAAAGAAATCACCCGCGATATCAAGCAGTTAGATCACGCCAAACGCCACCTGACCACCTCCATCACTACGCTGAACCACCTGCACATGCTGGCCGGCGGTGTCGACTCCCTTGAGTGAGCTGGGTCCACTTTCCCTTCGGGGACCCTGGGAAGTGAGGGTCCCACAGAGGAAATGGCATCAAAGGCATATGTCCTCTGAGTCTCAGCATCCTGCCCACATGCTGCAGATTGGCCCTCAGCGGTCAGTCACCCATTTTACTTTGTGCTCTCTGGTTGTTCGGAAGCAGCACGCTCCTGAATCACACCCAGAAGGGTAGCGAGGGGCTCCATCAATGTGAAGTGCATCCATGCATAGATTTGCCCTGATCAGGCCGATTTCAGGCTTAACTTTTCCCTATCAAGCTTCTACTCAAACCCTGCCCTTTGGCCCGTCTTTCTTGTAAGCTGGACTGAGTTGCACCGTGCTTGAGTGTGCTAGATGAGAACAGCTCTCTGGTTTATCATTCCGCCCATGTGTTTGTAAACCCACTTATATAGCCAATTCTCTTTTTATTGTTGTGGGACCACATCTGTTGGACTTATGCCCTGGGTGCTCTAGCCTGATGGTACTGGGCCGAAGGACCACATCTGGTAGTGCTGAAGGCGTGGGGTGTGGTGCTGGGGATTGAACCCAGCAACTGCCCATGCAGAGCAGGTGTTCTACTGTGCTGTCCCCAACTCAAACCACTTTTTTGTTGGTGGTGGTTTGTTTTTTTGTCTTTGGACCACACCCGGCAATGCTCAGGGGTTGCTCCTGGCTCTTCATCCAGGAATCACTCCTGGCGATACTCAGGGGATTGGAATGCCAGGGATTGAACCCAGGATGGCCGCGTGCAAGGCAAATGCCCCACCTGCTATACTGTGGCTCTGTTCCACCCCCCCACACACACACACCCAGCACTTTTTCTAAAGTTAGTAACGTTTCTCTTTGACTTGTGGAGGATCTATAGGGGACTATGCTTAAGAATATTTAGAGGAAGAGATGGTTATTTACCACAAAGAGGTAAGCCCAAGCCCTTCCCTGCAGGCAAGATTGTGATGTGCCCATTCACTTCTACGGTCTTTCTCAGACTGAGAATTTCTCCTGCCCCAGCCTCAGTATAACATCTTGTTTGAGAAAGAAAGAATGGAGGCCTGCTAGTACAGCATGCGGGCATGTGCCCTACACACGGCTGACCCAAGTTCAATCCCGGGCACCACATGTGATCCCCTGAGCCCCACCAGGAGTGATCCCTCAGCACTGACTGATTAGTGTGGCCCAGAAACAAAGGGGACTGGAGAGATCGTGCAGTGGGTAGGCACCAGCCTTGCACACGGCTGACCTGGGTTCAATCTCTGACACCCCATATGGTCCCCCAAGCCCTGCCAGAATTGATCCCTGAGCACTGCTGGGTTTGGCAAAGGGGAAAAAAAGGAAAAAAAAAGAAAAAAGAAAGGAAAAGTTTTATCACAGAAATCTGGATCAAGTATCCTAAGTCAAGGTTGGGGCATTGGTGATTTCCTGGTTGATCTCACCAGGGTTTTGCCTGGGCTTCGGTGAATCTTGGTCTATTTGCCCGTGAGTAGTGAGCAGAACAGCAGGCCGGCGGGAGGTGGGAACAGCACATTCCTTCCCCTTCCCCCAGATGCTCCACCAAACTGTCAGACCAGGCAGTGGTATCAGCCAGTCAACTTGGTTTAAACTTATCCGTTCTTTTGAAATCTGACTTCTTCAGGGAAGCCATAAATTATAAATTTAATTCGGAATCCCAAACCTAATGAAAAATTTATATTTGTTTCTCCTTTCCTTGCTATGTGTAATTATTGATTTTTATCAGCATCCGTTTCTTTACACTTCATTAATCTTAGCAGTAAGGAAAATAGACGTCACGTAGATACCTTGACAGTGACTTAAAACCTACAGATTTGCTTTATCATTCCATAGAAATATCTTTTGCTGTGGAAAGCTGTGTTTGGTTTGCCCATAAGCTGTAATATTCCTGCTTTTGTTCTCTGCCAGAATCTGCCTAGTTCCCGAACCCAACCCAGAACCCACATCCATGAAACCTTCCCAGATCCTGCCATCTTTCACCTTGCTGTGAGGCCATCACTCATTCTTCTGTACCTCTCACAGGTCTAACTTGTACTTTTGTTTAGAATTCAGTTATTTTACTTGTATCAGGTGTTGGCTGGCCTTCCTCCTTTACTAAATGATGTCACCTTGAGGCTTTGGACCAGGTGTATTCCCACGTCCACAGCATCAGACACCAGTACCTAGGGTCGTGCTGCCGCCTTAGGCTTCAGAGCAGGCCCTTCTGCATCTCTGCCTTGTGGCCTCCGTTTTGCTTGAGTTCTGAATTTCTTATTTCCTTCCAGAGCCATGACCAGGAGAAGGCAGTATGGAGAAGTTGCCAATCTTCTTGAGGGCGTAATGAACGTCCTGGAGCATTTCCATAAGTACATGGGGATCCCACAGATCCGGCAGCTTTCAGAAAGGTAAAGTATCCCAAGAGAAAGTGACCTCTTCTCACTTTTGTTTTGGTGGGGCCAGGACTCAAGCCCAGCAGCTCCCACATGCAAGGCAAGTGCCCCCGTCTGACCCACATCCTCTCTTAGAAGAGAAGACAGAGCAGGAGTGCTTAAGCCCTCAGCACTTGTTCATGGTAAAATTGTATAGTGAGAACGAACTGCTTCCTTCTTTCTTTCAAGGAAGGTGCCGTCTGGTCTCACTCTGTGTGATGCCGGTGTCCCAGCTGTCATTCCACTTGCTAGCTTCTTTCTGTGTCTTCTGACACTCCCTGTGTCAGTTGGTTGCTGACCCAGCATCCCTGAGGTGGTCCTGGTGGGTGGGGCATGTGGAGAACTGTCTTCTTTTTTTGATGATACAACAGTGTGGCTAGTGTTGTATGTTTCAGATGGCAGCTTAAAAAATCAGCCTGTGGGGCTGGAGTGATAGTATAGTGGACAGGGCGCTGGGTTTGTTCCTCCACATAGGAACCCTTGTGCCCCTCCAGGAGTGACCCCTGAGCACAGAGTCTGTCTGTTATTGTGTTTTGATATCACATCTTCTTTATATACACATCTGACTGGGTGCTTGGGTTCTTTCTAGGTCTTGGTTATTGTGAATAACACTGTGGTTGTGTGCAGTGTTATTTTTTGTTGTTGTTTGTTTGTTTGTTTTTGCCATATCCAGCTGTATTCTGGGCTTACTCCTGGCTTCTTGCTCAGGGATCACTCCTTACAGGCTTGAGGGACCATATGGCATGCTGGGGATTGAATCTGCTGGACATGTGCAAAGCTGGCACCTTAACCTGTCACGCCGGCCCCTGTTTGATTTTGTGAGGCATCTTGAGGGTGCTTTCTATAATAACAGCACCCATTTGTAGTTCTACATCCAAAGAGCTGCTCTCGCCACATCTTTCCAATGCTTGTTCCTTATCTTTGGGATAATAGCCATTGTCGCTGGGTGAAAGGGATATCTCAATTTTGTTTTGATTTAATTTTCTTAATAAGAGATGATGAGTATCTTTTCATTACCTCTTGACCATCTATATGTTTTTTCAGATGTTCTATTCAGGACAATTCTTAGTTGCCCACATTTGTGAGGGAAATTTTCAGTGATCTATTTCCATGTAACAAATCATCATGTAACTTAATAACCTCAAACAGCTCTTTTGGGGAGCTCAGATAGAGAAGGAAGCACCAAATAAAGGGTGTTGGGAGGATCCTCCCAGGATGGGAGAAGCATGCTGAAAGTAGACTATAGACCAAATATGATTGCCACTCAATGCCTCTTTTGCAAACCACAATACCCAAAAGGGGAGCGAGAACAAAAGGGAATGCCCTGCCACAGTGGCAGGGTGGGATGGGGGGATGGGGGTTGGGAGGGATACTGGGATCCGTGGTGGTGGGAAATGGGCACTGGTGGAGAGATGGGTATTAGATCATAGTATAATTGAAACCCAAGCACAAAAATTTGTAAGTTTACAACTGTACCTCATGGTGTCTCACTAATAAAAATAAAAAACAAACAAACAAAAACCCCAGCTCTTTTGCCCATGTATATTAAGCTGCTCAGTGGAACAGCTTTGTTCTGCCTTGAACAACGTAAGCAGGAAAGACCTTCCAGGGACTGGAGAATCTGTTGGTGCACTCTGATGGTTGGCAAGTTTATGGGTTGCTTTAGAAGCAACCTTTTAGGAAATCTTGGATGAACCAGGGAAATCTTTTGTCTGGCACTTATGGTTGCCTGTTAATGATATAAAGTTAATTTTATTGTTTAAATTAACTTACTTTAGCTTGATTCTCTCTCTCACTCTCTCTCTCTCTCTCCTTTTTTTTGGGGGGGGAGTCACACCTGGCAATGCTCAAGGGTTATTCCTGGCTTTGCACTCAGAAATTATTCCTGGCAGTGCTGGGGAACCATATGGGATACTAGGGATCAAACCCATGTCTGCCATGTGCAAGGCAAACACCCTGTCTGCTGTACTATTGCTCTGGCCCCTCCTTTTTTTGTTTTGTTTTGTTTTGTTGTTCTTTGTCAAGATCATGAACGATCGGTTTGAGGCCCTCCATGTTCCCGGAGCGAAGAGATGCCATTGGGCTACACTAGCACGCGACAGGGACAAATGGAGACGTTACTGGCGCCCGCTCGAGCAAATCGACGACTAACGGGAAGTTAAGTGATTAAGTGATTAAGTGATTGTTGTTACACCTGGCAGTGCTCAGGACTGACTCCTGGCGTTGAGCGCAGGGATCACTCTTAGCAGGTTCAGAGAACCATATGGGGTGCTGGGGATTGAACCCAGGTTGACTGTGTGCAAGGCAAGTGCCCTGCTACTGCTCTGGCCCTTTTGCTAGATTTCTCTTTTATTTTGGAAATATTTGAGGGTTTTTTTTTTGTGGGGAGTGGGGCAGGCAGTATATGCAGTGATGTTCAGGGGTTACTCCTGGCTCTGCGCTCAGAAATTACTTTTGGCCTTGCTCAGGGTACCATACGGGATCCAGAGGATCACACCTGGGTTGGACGTGTGCAAGACAAATACTCTACCCACTGTACTATCGCTCTAGCCCATCTTTTAAAATAATTATTTAAAAATAATTATTGTTTTGGTTTTGGAGTCACAGTTGGTGGGGGTCAGGGTTTACTCCTGGTTCTGCTTAAGGATCACTCCTGGCGGTACTCAGGGGACCGTATATAGTTCCACAGATTGAACTTGTGACAGCCGTGTATAAGACAAGTGCTTTGACCCCTGTGCTATCTCTCCGGTCTCATATACATTTTGAGGGGGAAATCAGAAATTTTACCAAGACATATTTGTTTTGTTTGTATTTGAGTGATACCTGGCAGGGCCAGGGTCTAGGCCTGGCATAGTATCTGGAGGGCAGTGGGGTGCTGGGGATCAAGCCTGTGCTCTGGCATTGAGAGCATGTGTTCCAACCTGTTGAACTATCTACCTGGGCCCCTTCTTTGGTTTTGTTTTGCTTTTTTGCGTTTAGGCCAAACCTGGCAGTGCTTGTAGCTCCTTCCAGCCCGGCAGGTTGCACTCCACTGAGAGCAAACCCAGCCTCTCCCGCCGCCGAGCTTCCTTCTCTCTTTCTTGCGTTCATAAAGCTCTTTGTCTGCTCTCTTGGCCACTTCGCGTCCCCAGTGCGATATGGCGATCAGCCAGCTCCAAGTGTGAAGGGGCAGGAAAGGGCGAGGGGAAGGGCGGTGGTTTCCCCAGCATCTGCCAAGCTCTCTGCTGACATTCCTTCATCACTCCTTGGCATTTCCACTCTTCGATGGCACACTGACACTTGCCGTGGCCTGCCCTTCCTGTCCTGGATCTTTAAAAATAAAGTAATGAGAAAAGGTTTTAATAAAAAAAAAAAATCCAAGCTCTGGCAAGAAGAGAATTGGTATTCTGGGGAGTGGTGAGGATTCCCTGGTAGGCAGGATGGAAGCAGATGATCACTGCCAAAAATGAGGAGCATGGGTACCTGGGGCAACTTCCAGGGAGAGGTGGGGTCCACATCCTACCCTGAACTCCCAGCCCAGTAGCGCCCCTGGGTCTGAGCACCCCAGTGGTGGCTGACACTTGACCAGCACGGCTGCCCGAGGGCCCTGCACCTCCAGTGTCAGCTCCTTTTGGAGACGTGTCTGCGGGACACTCGACCACATAGCCAGCCTACTTCTCCCCCTTGCAGGCTGAGCCATATGCAGTGGACTCAGTCACATACCCAGCCTGCCCCTCCCTCTTAACAAGCGTAGCAAGCATATTTCCAGGCAGAGCAACAGGGACCCGACATCAAAAAAAGTGCATCGCTTCAGAGTCACCAAACAGGGCCCAGGCATCTGGTTCAGGGGTATAGCACCTGCCTTGCACACAGGAGGCCTCCAATGCCATCCACAGCACCACACCACACTGTTGGTGTAGCAGCCACAACTGCTGAACTGTGCAAATGCTTAGCTCAAGTGGACTAGCGTGGTAGCCACAACGAGACAGCCCCCAGACATCTCAGCGACAAAGAGAAGGGGGTGAGGGTATCACCAAACATGAGAAGGATGCTAACACGAGAAGTAAGAGAGTTACTTAGAGGACAAAGTAAAGGAACAGGCAGTTCAGAGCTTTAAGACACACCTCAGGGGCCAGAGTGATAGTACAGCAGGTAGGGTGCTTGCCTTGCATGCAGCCAACTCAGGTCTATTCCCCAGCACCCCACAGGGTCCCCTGAGCACTGCCAAGAGTGATCCCTGAGCACAAAGCCAGGAGACAGCCCTGGGCACCACCGGGTGTGGACTAAAATTTTAAAAAAAAGAAAAGGAAGAAAAAGACAGACAGAAAGAAAGAAAGGAAGGAAGGAAGGAAGGAAGGAAGGAAGGAAGGAAGGAAAAGAAAGAAAGAAAGAAAGAAAGAAAGAAAGAAAGAAAGAAAGAAAGAACATCACAACAAAATGCCTAATTTATATTACCTAAGAGATTTAAGAAATTGCTCGAGCGGGCCCAGTAACGTCTCCATTGGAGACTTTGTTGTTACTGTGTCTGGCATATCGAATACTCTCGGTAGCTTGCCGGGCTCTCCGAAGCTTGCCCATGAAAAAAAGAATCAACTAGACATCTGGATATTGCATATTAAATCGTCTAATTTATCTAATTAGTAAATTACCTATTTTACCTTAATATAGAAAGATAGCAAAAAGAACAAGGCCATAAAAGTAGACTATCCAAATAAAAACTCATCATTTTTTAACCCTTGGCACCACAAAATAAAAACAAATAGAAGAAGAGAGTCAAGTGAGGGGCCAGCAAGTGTCCAGGGCGATATGCACGTCCCTTACATACAGCTGACCCTGATTGGGTCCCCAGGACCATGTGGTCCCTCCACGAGTTGCTGGGGGCAGCCCTGGAGGGCCCTGAGCCCTGCCTGGATAATCCACACTCTCAGAGTCAAGGGCAATGAGGCAGTGGCATCTTCCTCTGCCCTCACGCTAGTCCAGAATTCATCTGCTTTTCC